TCGCAATATATATATATATATATATATATATATATATATATATACACACAGTATATACAGTGCTGTCAATCGTTTAAAAAAAATTAACTAATTAAAGGTGGGGTAAGCGATTTCTGGTAGCCAATGTTGACATTTGAAATCACCAAAACAAACACGCCCCTACCCCAAAAGGGTCTCGCCCCTATTTTGATAGCTCCGCCCCACACATGCGTACGCAACCCAGGCAACAATTAGTTCTGTGAAACAAAGCAAAATCAATGTTATACCGTGTCTACACCGGACCCGAGTGGCGTGGCGTGACAAAATACTATGGAACTCATTATAATCAGTGATGCTGTCTACACCATAGATATATATATACATATATATGGTCTACACTGGATGCGGCACGAGACGACAAATCCCCGACAGGAAAATTGCTGCTGCGTTCCATTCATGACATATTGACACAAATTTCAAATTATTTTCAACAGTCGCTTTGTCACGTCCAGTATACTAGACAGACTTTAGCTGTTGCGGCGCAGACACGGTGTTACTCACCTATCGAGAAGAAACAAAGCAACCTCGCTGGAAAGCTGATCCGATATTTACATGGGTCCTACTTCTTGCCTTAAGCCTTGTTTTGTTCCGCAGACGTTTTCCTCTTTTGTTTTTTATCTGCCATCTCTATCTTTTGCTCGGCTCGCTAATGTCCGTACTGTGCACTGAACGCTCTCTCCTCCACATCATGAGTAGACACGCCCCTTACTGCTGATTGGCTACAAGTTTGTTTTGCTAGTCGGCCCGAATCAGTTTTCTAAAGCGTTTTTGAAAAATTGCATACCCCACCTTTAATCGCACGTTTTTCGGAAATTAATTGCGATTAATCCCACCTAACATTAAAGTTTTTAAATATACTTTTATATTGCAATAATTTCACATTCAATCTTCAAATTAATAAGACTTTAAAAAAAATTACTTATAATTTAAGTGAACTTAAAACAATATAATAAATGTCATATTTACCTGTGCCCTTCAACAGAAGTATACAGAAATTGAAATTGAAGTTATCAAATACTAAATTCAATATAGATGAATTCTTAAAGCTATAAAAGTTATTTTTCCTCTTTTTTTTTGTCCTTTGATTAATAGACATCACAGCAGCTGGTTATTAGGTTATTTTGGCTGTTATTTCTTTAAGAGCTGCTGCTGCTGAACGTGACGCGGATCTGACATGCATGATATTTTCTCTCAACTCTTTTTAATCTTTTCTGACCCACTTCAGGACTTAAAATCTCTATTAATGAGCTCACGAGTTAAATCGGGTGTGTTAGATGAGACAGTGCTGGGCTGCTCCAGGACAGTTTTGAAAACCATTTCAGAGACATGTTCATAATGTTACTCATATAAAATATATTACATGCATGCACAGTTTTAAGGCAGCTTTAATCGTCTTTTTGGTAACTTCATGACTTAAATGGCCCACGACATTGCATGCACGTAGTTTATTTTGCGTTTTGATATGAAAGGATACAGGCTACAGCGCGCGCCGGCACCTTTGTGTGTGCAATTGAAGAGCACGCGCTCGCGCCTGGCACTGCTGAAGTGACGTGGAGCGCGCGTGCGAAACGTCTCCAGTTCTCAGTCGTTCTGCGACTGAACAAATGCACTTCTTGTCAAGAGAAAAAGTGACAGAAGCAGAAGTTGTGAGTGGGGTGGCCAACCCTAGCCCCGCCCCTGCTTTAATTGCGTTAAATATTTTTAACGCGTTAAACTGAAAAAATTATATACGCGCTAATTTTATATATACATGTATGTATGTATGTATGTATATATATATATATATACAGTGGGGGAAAAAAGTATTTAGTCAGCCACCAATTGTGCAAGTTCTCCCACTTAAAAAGATGAGAGAGGCCTGTAATTTTCATCATAGGTTATATATACATACAAACACTAGTAAATCTAAAACATATTTCTAAATAGAGGTTGAATTTTGATAGGGCCACAAAATGGGAGGCCAACGGGAGGCAAAACACTTTGTCTTTACTGGCTTCTTTGAATTTGCTTTACTACAAGCAATGAGTCCAATTACGTAAACAACATACAAGCAAACTTTACGAAATTTAAGCCTCCAGTAAAACCTGATTTGTACATTACGTTAAGGAGGCAAACATTACATAACCAAATATTTTCTTTAGGCCTACATTCAAGAGCAGTAGGTTAACAAAACATTATGCAAACAAGGAAACTTCAGACTCCGCAATGCTAGTGCAAACACTCGGATCAAACAAACGGATCCTCACATTTACCCATGTCACATTACATGAATGATCATTATAACCAAATAATAGACTCGCTCATGTTTTTATCAGTTTCATTACTGAAACACATAATGTGGTGGACATTTTGGACTGATTCTCATTCTATCCTCTTAAATTGAGAATACATTTTTATCTAAATTCTTGACATATGTATGTGTACTGTACATTTTTGTCAATTTCAAATCATTTTAATTTTAAATTTTAAGTGTAATTTTTCAAATTTGTTTATTTTTTAATATTTTATGAATTTGACTCTTGTGATGCCATGAAAAAAGTTTACAGTTAAAAATAGTAAGGTAGTACACACACACATGTATGTTCAAAGGTTTGAGTCAGTAAGATTTTTTTGAATGTTTCTTATCCTCAACAAGATTGTATGTATTTGATTAAAAAATACAATTTAAAAAAAGTAATATTGTGAACCCAATACCCCCCCAACACATCAACAACAAAAGTCAGATATGAATGGGAGCCATACAAAATAATTAATTTGTGAAAAGCTTGAAAAAGTGCTATGGTTCACAAAGTTTGAGTGTGCTGCTTCTATTTGCATATACAAAACTGTTTTATGTCAAATAATTATACACATTTTTGTGGGGGTAAGAGACAAATAATGGCAGTAATAGTATGTGTTAGTGATCGTTGTCTTCAGCGAAAAGCCCCACCTCACTCAGCCACTCCTATCTGCTTAAACACATTAGCTTATTATGACAGATCATTATGCAACGAGTAGAGCACTTCACTTTGGTTTTAATTTGGATAGAATAGTTTGCCTACTTCTCTAGTGTGTGCTTAACCATTATGGAGTATCACTGGCCTGACTATGTGTATATGAACATCTGGAACTGAGACAAAAATTTCTTCACAATGTCCTAATGATGAAAGAATGCAGGAATGTGTTCCCAGAACACTGTCAAGGTGTAACGTTTTGACCTTTTCTGACCTAGGCGATGTTTAAACGCTTCATTCAGGCTGTCATTGCTCAGGGAATGTACTGAGAACTGAATTAAGGTTCAAAGAGATCAAGCTTCATTTTTACCTGCATGAGCTCCTGTTTTTCTTTCTCCCCAGAGCTGATGGCATCTTTAATGGTCTTCACCTCCTTCAGGATGGCCTGGGCTTCATGTAGTTTGTAGCCATGCGAGGCACTGGACACTTTGTAATCGATTCTGATGAAAGTCAAAGTAAAACAAAAAAGTCAATTTGCAATAATTGTGAATCAACCGAATTATTCTTTTGAACCAGTTCCTTTTAATGATTCAGTTGAACCATTTGCATCACACTCGGAATTCGTTTAACTCTGAGGGCCACTTTGTTTGGAACTTGACTTGAATCAGTGACTAATTTTTTGTACTGTAAAATAAAATGACTATTATTTTTTTAAATTATTACTAAATTAAAAAACATAAAACAAAATAATCAATATTTCACTTTAAAATAAAAAAAAATTAAGCATTTAAAATACTACTACTACTAATTTTATTTTATTGAGTGAACTGTCCTAATTAAAGGTGCTGTATGTAGAATTTACACCGAGTGGTTGACCTAGGTATTGCAGTCCAAATTCAAAATGCTGGAGAGGGTTTTTTTTTTACCCGGCCCCTCCTCCTCAGACTTGACTCACACGCAGGTTGCCAGATTGACGACACCAACAGGAACGAGCGCACTTGACAATGAATGAAATGAAAAACGCTGTGTTTTCCACCAACTGGCAACCCGGGGTGCCGAAAAAAAATGGCAGTGGCGAAAAAAACTGGCAGTGGGCGGGTTTCACAAACCAAAACAGAGACCGACATTCCGGCCCGGAACGCACATTTTCAAAGGAGAATAACTGGCTGTAGCATTGTTTTTCAGATAAACAAGTATGTTAACTTAGCATGTTTCTTAAATATCTGCAAACATATTATGGTATTTTTATGCTTTAGTAGAGTCAAAAACTTACATACAGCACCTTTAAACAAACTGAATTGCGAACAATTTAAAATCTTTTTACAAACCTGTTTAACCGATTAGATCATTTGCAAATCTGGTATCACTAGCACTGATTCTAAACAGCTGAAATAACGCATGACTTGATTGCTGACATATTAGCAAAAAAAGTGATTCTCAGGTCGGTTTACATCATAATCGTCACTGACATACAAAGATTTATCAATAATATTTTACTGGGGCTAGGGCTGGGTGATATATCTAATATTAGCGATAATATCGCAATAATTTTGTTTTGTAAAATTTTAAATTTCGCATATTTTAAATTCAAGCATACTTTCCCAAAAGAATGCGCTGAACGTTCATAAAAGGAGACAATATATTGCGGACTGCTCTACTGTACACACCTCTACTACGCGAGCTTTCATGAGTGCGGTTGCCAGATATCAAGAGTTCAAATCCCTGAAACAGAGCTTCGCTGTTACAAGGACACATTTTCATTTTAAGCAATCTAGCAATCATGCGCAAACGCTCGCTCCTCACTGCGGAAGCGCCGCCGACGATGAGCTGAAAACACCAACAAACAAGCTGGAGTTTAGCGATCAAAATGAAAGTGTCACTCAACCAGTCTGTGTTCTGTCATGAGATCTCGACTGTATTGTTTGCGATTGTGATCGCTGAATAAATGCACTTACTCAACCGCCGTTGTTTTAATAGAGAAACATAGGCTATGACAATTTGGAATTACTATTAGGAATTACACTGTTATAATATTTTTCATTTGTCTTACCAGTTTTCATAATATAGACATAATATAGAGATAGTGCATAAGTTTTTGGTATTAATGCGTGTATATATATATATATATATATATATATATATATATATAT